CCTTGGGCAAAACCAAGAGCACGTGGTGATAGCGGGTGAGGATCCCCTAAAATGCCCTTTGGCTATAGCCCGCCATGTGTATGTGTGTGTTGAGAAGGTGCATATGAGCCTGTGTGGACATTCATATGTATGCATGCATATGTTTGCATGTATGTGGGGGTACATGTGTGTATCTGGGCCTCAGCATATTTGCGGGTTGGGTGACAGGAGCTGGGGGAAAAGGGATAAATGACATTAGCATTTTGCAGCCTGTGAGGGAGGAGGGTGGGAACAACGTGCGTGGTCCCTCTGTTTCCCCCTTCTCTAAGCCACCACTGTGTCTATTGCAAAACAGTCAGGGCTCAGTTTATAAGATCGATCAGATCAATTCTCTCTCCAAAGCCTCTAATGCCTTCTCTTGTCCTTAAGAGTAAAATCCAAACTCCATGATCTACAAGATCAAGGTCACCTCTTTAACACATTTCATGGTACAACATATACAGAAAACACCCTTTCCATGGTACACAAGGGGACTGCTCTACACTGCCCTTCTGTTTGTTCTTATACCGCCCCAAGCCCACTTCTTTCTCACAGCCTTTGTGCTTGCCATTCCCTTCATTTGGAATGCTCTTTTCCTTGATTTCCCAGGGCTGGGCCCTTCATCTCTTTCAGGTCTCTGCCTCAATGTTGTCTCCTGCTTTTCTAGAAGCAGCCCCTTCCTTTCACCATGATACCGTGTTTGATCATTTCTGGAGCACGCATCTCTGTCTACCTTTGCACTGATGGATTACTTTCAGTTTTGCACCCCCCAATGTCCTGATACAGAAAACAATTGTCAGTTGCTTGATGGCTGGGTTTTGTCTCTTGGTCATTGCTGTCTCTCTAGTAACCTAGCCCAGAGCTTGGCCCTCAGTAAATACTTGTTGAACTTTTGAACAGATGAACAAACTGAGGGCTGGAATCAGTCGGTGGACAGTGACAAATGTGTGTTGAGTGATTCCTAAAAACTTTGGGGACACTGTCTTCTTCCTGGTGTGTCTTGTGCCCAGGAAGCCCTGGTGTAACTTCTCTGGGTGTTTCTGGGGCTTCTGTTCTCTCTAGAAATAATGGAGCGTGGACCCCGGTCCCTGGGTAGCTCCCAGAGGCGACAGAAGTTGGAACCAAAGGCTGCTGGTTCTCCTCCAGTTTCATCAGTTTGGAATGTGGTTTCCCCCCGACCCAGGAAGGCGGTACTGTATGGGGTCCTTGGCACATGGTGGCCGGGTTGGGGTTGGGAGAACTGGTTGTAAGAGCTCCAGCCTAGTCGAGCAGGGCCAGAAGTTGACTTGGGAGAGGATGAAACTTCTGTGTGCTTGGCAGACAAATGAGGGCAGGGAAGTCTAGTGAAAGGTCAGGGCTGTCTTTTGGTATGCTGGGTATTCAACCTTGGGAATCCAAAATGCCTGAAGTACACATTGCTGGGAAGTACGTATACACTTTATTCTGTAAAACTCTAGTGTGTGAAATGATGCTGCCTTTAAAAAATATATATATAAATTATTATATATAAATAAAATATAATAAGTAAATATATAAATATTTATAAATTTATTTATAAAATAATTTTATTTATAACTTATAAAATTATATATATTTTGAACATATGGAACCGATTCAATATTTCTGACTATTTTTTTATTCCCAGGAGGTCTTTGACCTGGCAGCTCTTTTTCCCATTATTCATTGGGGATGAAACCATTTCAGTGTTTATTATAATCCTTTCCTTGGAATAGTCAGGTCTCCCTCCCTCTCCAACCTTTTCGTTTTTTCCCAGTAACTTTTGTAACAGTATAACCATCATTTTTCCCTTACGCACCTGAATATAACTAAAAGGATTACAAAAAATAGTTATATAAAATACAATTTATAAAATATCTATTTATAAGTATATACATATAAAATAAATTTAGAAATATATGTGTATTTGTATTAGGGCTGGAACTAGGGTAAGGCAAATGAGGCTACTAGGCTTTCCAGTGGTTACGAAATCCAATCAAGTGATTCTGATCATTTTGTAGCCAGTCCTTTTAGTTACATTCACTGTGGGTGAGGGAATGTTCTAGAAAAATGGTGGCAATATTGTTGCAAAGGATACTGGGAAAAGGTAGCCATTTTGGAGAGGAGGGAGACCTGACTGTTCTGGAATCACAAGATTCCCATTGTTCTGTAACCAATCATTTTAGTTACATTCAGGTGGGTGAGGGAAAAATGGTGGTTATACTGTTACAAAAGTTACTGGCAAAGGCATCAAGGTTGGAGAGGGAGGGAGACCTTATTGTTCCAAGGAATGGATTACAATAAATGCCGAAATGATTTCATCCCCAATGAATAATGAGAAAAAGAGCTTCCAGGTCAAAGACCTCCTGGGAATAATAAAAAAAAAAAGAAAGATTGAATTGGCTCTTTGTGTTCAAAGACTGCAGCCAAATCAAGTTGCTCCAGGAGGTCAGACTCCAGAAAACCACTCATGCCCCCTGAGACTGAGGGTAATATGATCTCTGGATTAATTAAAGTTAGCTATGAGGACTTCAGGAGTGTACTGTTTAAAAAGTAGACATTATATTAAATTTAGAAATTGAATTTAGAAATGTAGAATTAAGATATCTAATTTATTAAGTCTATTCGTCCATTTATTTATTTTTTAATAAAATGATATGGAACTGTTATTGCCTCTGGGAGAACCACAACATGCAAGGACAAAATATAATAATAATACTATCCTGCTGGTTTGGAAAAATAGCAGCCTGCCTTAAGAAGTATGTGAAAACTAATAGAACAGTTTTTGAAATGATTAACAGAGAGACGTTGGGACTCACTGCAGTTCATAGATTTTCCTAGTCTCGATCACATGTGTATAAAAGTCTTATGTTTTATGATGTATATAATTCCAAATAAAGTTTCCAAAACTAAAAATAAAAAAAAGCAACAAGACAAATAACTGTTTTTGAACAGTTAGACCTGTCTTCTTGTGGGTGATCACAATAAAAAGCATTATCAATCTGAAGGTGTTATTGTTAAGTTAATTCTATCATATCGATGTGTTAACACATTATTTATCTCAAACAGACAAGCAAACAACAACAACAAAAAACCCCAGACACCAGCCACTCATCCTTATTTTGCCTTCAAATCTCTCAAAAAAATTTTTGTTCTTCTATAAAAAAATCAAGGGGATGATCTGGAAATTGTTCTGGGAGAAACTCTCAATCAAATTCCCCTGGGGTCTTCCTGACACCCACTTTCCTTTTGATGCTATTTATGAATTATCTTAAGAAGATAAAATATTATGTCTGTGAACTATTGTTCACAAAAAATATCTGTCTGCCAATATCTGTCTGCTTCTGTTGAGAAAGATAAATTTTGTACTGTTGCAATAAACTGGGCATGGTGGCCAAGTTCCTATGGAAATCGTTTACACAGAAATTGTCCCACCTTCAGTTTCATGCTGGTATTCAGAACAGAGGAAGGTTGGGGCTCTTTCTCAGGTGACAGGTGAGCCTTGGTTGTCCATTCATTTCTAAGAATGAGGCAAACAGAAGGGCTGAGCCACAGCTCTGTACATCCTGGGCAGGCCTGTCAAACAGCAGCTTCTACTTCAACAGGGTGAGCAGGGGAGGAACTGGCTGCCATGCTGGGCACTCTTAAATGCCACAATGAACAGGGTTTTATTTTGCGTCATTTCCACCCCAGCTTTCTCATTCTTTTGGTTCAGGTTTTGGCTTGGGAGTGAGTGCCTGGCTGCCAGCCAGGTGGAGTAAGAAGCTGGAGTGCTTCATGCACAGATTTTCAGTTTAACATCCCTGTTTTCCAGTCCACTTCTTGAGATCCCCCAGCACCATTGCCCCTGCAGCCTCCAAGCCTGGATCCTCTGGGTGCTGCCAGCGGGACCTCCTTTGGCCGCTGCTCCCCATCCGCTTCCCACCCACACTGAGGCCTGCTTTGCTCAGCTGGCTTCCTCCACTGGCACTTTCTGAATTCTACAATTTTGTTGAGCTCTTTCATTTGCCAATGGCTCTCCTGTAATCTTTGTTATGGGTCTATATTGTTACTGTCACCATTGTCATGTGATGGAGTCAAGAGGAAGCAGTGTTAACTCTGGGGGGCATCATAGTATAATGGTTAAGAGTGCAACCTCTGGAGCAAAATGTCCTGGGTTAGAATTACTGCTCTGCTACTTACCAGCTGTGTGACTTGGGCAAGTTATATAAACTCTCCATGTTTCAGTTTCCCTGTCTTTCAAAATGGGATGATAATAGTACTGGTTTCACAGTCGTGATGAGGATTCAGTGACTTGATATTGGTGAGGGTTTAGAGGACAGCAAGGTCACTGGCATATGGTAAGTGTGTGTTAAACAAGCAGCTTGTGAAGTATTTCGTTGAGAACTGCAAAACTAGAACTATGATTTGAACCCAGGCAGGTCTGGTACTGAAAACCATGTTCCGCCCCTCTACCTCACACTGGCTCTTCAAAGGCACCAGATACTCTTGGCTGAGAGCTCCTGACCCAAGGCACACACTTTGGGGATTCATTAGTGGAGGAAAGCCAAAAGGATAGATGGGCTCACCCAGAGCGGAGTCTGTGGTTTCCTAGTAGCCAGGACTCTATCCTTAGCTTCACCACTTACAGTGCATCCTGGGGAAGTGAATGCACCTTGCTAGGCCTCAATTTCCTTGGCTATCAATTGAGGTTTTACACTCTCATTCAGCTGATGTCTGCATGGGAGAGTTCTGGCAGAGAACAGGGACACCTCTCACTGCTCTTCCTTGGCCACAGCCTGAATGGCCAAGAGTTACTGAGGAGCATGGTGTGGGTGGCATGGTGGCAGGCAGCCAATTTGTGGGGTTGCCAGGCTCTCCCTGTGGTCTGAAGCTGTTGAGGCTCAGTCACCATGTGACTTTTTATGGGGTGAACCGTTGGCTTTGGGCAGGCCGCTTTGACTGACCATTCCTTTCTTTAGAGGTCCCATCTGCATTTGCCCAGGATGTTGAGAGAACAAGTCCATGGTGATATCCATCCCCAGGAGTATCCTGGTGCCTTCCAAGGCATGAGATACCATTGTGACCGGTAAGAGCTGGAGATCTTTGGGCCCTGGCTGCTCAGGTAGGGACCGGAATGGAGCAGAGAGACTGGTGAGCATACTGGCCAGGAAGGAGTTGTGAGCACTTGGAGTACTGGGGTTCTGTGGCCTCCCTGCCAAAGACCCTGAGCATACTGGCCACCCACAGTGGCCTCCATGTGCTCTGTGGCCAGGCTGGGCCTGGCTGGCTTCCAGGCCTCAGGCCCTAGACCCTCTTTACTATGGAAGGGAAGGGCTGGAGGCTGATGGTCACTGTCTGGGAAGCCCCCAACCTTACCTACTTGCCCTCATGGACTTCCTGTGCTCTCTACCAGTGCCTGCCAGGACCGCCAGCAGCTCTGACCTTCAGTCTTTTCTTTTCTCCCAGCAACCTGGAGGCAGATATGGCAGCAGGGTTTGAGCCAGAAGAGTTCAATGGACTGGAGATGGAAATTATTAGAAGACAGGTGGGCATTTGCTGTGTCAGGGACCCACCTGGCGGGTGGAAGCAGAGTCATGGTGTCTTGGGGTGGGTGGGCCTTGATGGCTGTGAGGCCACCCCCTTGAGGTTGTGTAGCCTCTTACAATCACCTTAGCCTGTGGCACTGGAGGTGAGGCCAAGCTCCTTTCCTCTTCCTTCCAGTCCCCACAGCTCTGGTGTCCCATCTTGATGCCCAGTCTCAAACCTACCTCTATCCCTGCAATGCTGGAAGGCAGTAAGGAAGAGAAAAGGGGGGAGGAAGGGAAAACACAAGAGGATCAGTGCAGTGTGCCCAGACAGCACTTCTGAGAGGTCTGAGAAAAAGGTCACCTTTGTCCAAACCGAGCCCAGGCCTTCTGAGAAGAGGCCCCAGGGAGCCTGGGCTTGGAGGGGCATCCACACTGGTGGGTCTCTGCAGCCCCTGCATGTCACCCCATCTGGGATCTCTCACTCTGGTTCTGCTGCTGCCTCCACACCAGCCCAGCCCACGATTGCAGAACCCTTCCTCCCCACCCCTGCCCCAACACAGCTGGGATGGGCTGCCTTCTTCCAGAGAAGTGGAAGGAAAGGGGGCAAGGAGCTGGGCCTGTCACATGACACAGGCATCCCCACCCTCCCCAGGCCCCTACTTCTCACCTGGGGGCACTTCAGCCTCCCAAAGGGCAGCAGAGCTCCTTCATGCCTTGCCCCGAGCAGAGCCTTGCTCACCAGCCCTGCTTTTGACTCCTCTGCAGCTGCATGTGATCATCGGACGTCTGCGTGCCCTGGAGGAGCAGAGCACCACCCGGCGCCATAGGGAGGCTCTGTTCTTCGCCATTCTGGCGTCGGCCTGCATCACCAACATGTGGCTGTGGCTGCGCTAGTGAAACTTCACCCCCGCGCTGCACTACTTCCTTCCCCTTCTGCCCTTCTCTCCCTGGCCACCCTTGTCCATCCTCCTTCTCCTCCCAGGAGCCCCCAGACAGTGTCAACACCATCTTCGGTTCTGGTTAAGCCCTGGCCTTGGGAGGTCAGCCCTCTCCATTGGGAGGTCCCAGCTGCTGGGAGGGTAGAGGAGGTCTGAATGGGCCCAGATGCTGCTCCTTTGGAGGGTGAGGAGAGAGCAGCATCTGGTTCTGCACTAACACCAGTGGCAGGAGCCGCCTGCCTGTCAGGGCTCCCTGGGCCTTGCCTCTATGACCTCAACATCCCTTCTGTTCCACCTGTGGCAGGGGTTTGGCTTTCTCTTCCTCCCCCGTTTGCTTCCACTTTGCGCACAAGGCTCTGCAGAGACAACATGCTCAATAAAAGTTAGTGATAGCAGCAAAACCTGTGGCTGAGGCTCTTGCATCCAGGATTCACTTGCGGCGGCAGTGGTTGTGGGGTCCACTGGGCAACAGCCCCTCTGCACAAAGGCCCTGTGGCTGGGACTGGGCTGCTGCCATCACCCCAGGGACTCTGGTTCTCATCTCCCGCTCACTTCCCCCACCCTCACTGTCCCCAGCCTAGGTTTCCTTAGGGGCAGCGCTTGGCAAAGTCCTTTCTGTTGGGCTCATGCCAGCAAGCGCTGTGGGGAAGCAGCTCCGCAGAGCATGTCTGAGCCAGGCATTGCAGAGACTCAATCAGAGGAAATCTCATGAAAGGGACCAGAAACCTTGCATTTGCCCAGGAGGAAATTGAGTTCCAGAGAGAGGAAATATGTCCCTGTGGTCATCCGGCAAGACAGGGACAGGGCTGGGTCTGGGATGCGTTCTTCTTAGTCCTAGCCTAGGACTTGGCCTGCCTGCTACACATTCGCTGGGCATGAGGTCCTGACTCAGCTCTGGAGGCTGAATGAGAGGCCACATATAGCCCCACAGCCACCCTGGTCCACAGCTCCATGAAGCATACCTCAGACAGGGCAGGTAGTGGGGTCGTCGGAGCCTGAGATGTTGAGAATTGCCTGCCACTTGGGGGCCCAGCCACAGGGCTGCAGGAGACCTGCTGGGGAGCTGCTGCCCCTTTGCCTGGGATCCATACACATCTCTCTGGGGGCAGGGGCTGAGAACTTTCTCATTGGGTTTAGTGACAAACTGGATCTTCTCCAATCCCTAGAATCTGCAAAGGGTTCTCTATCTATAAAGGTGAGAGTGTGTTAGTCACTAAGTATGAAATGAACATGACCATCTCTGTGTGTGTGTGTGTGTGTGTGCATGTGTGTGTGAGAGAGAGAGAGAGAGGGAGGAAGAGGATGGGAAGAGGCTTGAGTCCTAGAGCCTGCTCTGTTCCTGCTCCACACCTCTCTGGTCCTTAGTGGGGCCCTGTACAATGAGGGGCTCCTCCACTCCTGGCACTCTGGGGCCTGCAACACTTCTGAGACAAGGATGCGGGGGGCCTCCTATCTGCCCTGTGGGATACCACGCACATGGCCCCTGGAGTCTGGGCCCTGCTGCAAGCAGAGACAAGGACACTTGGTGAAGAAAGAGTTGGGAGATTCTCTCTCTGGTCCCAGAGCAGAGAGGATAATGGGGTGCCAGAGGAAGCCCCTCTGCAGAATGGGAAGAACACGGCATCCAGATACAAGCACTTCTTGTCAGGAGAGCCAAGAAGCCCTGGGAGAACCAGGAGCACACCCTGCCCTCTCCAAATGGGCTGGAGTCCTGAGAATCACCTGCGAGCTAGAAGGATGGATGGGTGACTACTGGCAGGCCATTCCTCCATTCCCTGCAGCATCAGGACAGACCAGGGCCCAAGACGCAGAGGAGTATTAGGGAAGCAGGGAGATGGAGCAGCCCACCTGTTCAGACAGGGGCAGCACGTGTGGCTTCCTGCCACCGGCCCAGTGCTCCCACTGCCTTTGGTGCTATGGAAGGCAAGCCAAGCTGAGTGGAGGACCAGAAGTGAAGAACATCAGAGGCCTACCCTCATGTCACCTGCCTCAGGCTGCCCCTTTCTTTTGCCCCAACCAGGCCATGCAGGGAACTCAGAGGAAGAGAAGGCTGAGCCTGGCGGGGCCAGGGCTGCCCTTTGGGGCCTGGGTGTGCATGTGCCTGCGCAGACACGGACATGTTTGCAGCAAAAGTCTGGTTGAAAATATGTTGTGAAACAAGGTTCACCCTAGGGAGCAATTTAGCTGAGCTGCAAACAAACAGTGTGGTGGCCTCTCGGAGAACACCTCCTGAGCCAGGCGAGCTCAGATGGAGCCGTTGGCTGAGCCCTGGCCACCCCGCCACCCTGCCCTGCTCTGTGGCCGCTTGGCTGGCTCCCTCCTGCTTCATCTCCAGAACTACGTGCCCATGAAGAGGGCCTCAGGGACCTCCCAAGGGGAACTGGAGCCACAGCTGCCCATGCTGGCCTCCATGGAGGACTTCTTAAGGGGTGCGGGGGCTGTATTGCGGGGCTGGCACCTCTGTGGTCCTTTTCTGATTCCCAAGCCCCTTGGAGACCCAGGGAGGTTCAGAGGGGCAGATTCCAGGAGGCTCCACCTGGAAACTTCCTCCCCTTTTTTGTATTATTATTATTATTATTATTATTTATTTTACTTGATCAATATACAGTGTGGTTGATTTTCATGCCCGTTCACCAATTCCTCCCCCCTTCCCCCTCCCCCGCATCAACATCATAACTGTTCACTTGTCTTAACAAGTTCAAGGAATTGTTGTGATTGCTGTGTCTTCTTCCCCACCTCCCCCGCTTATTTGTGTGTTTTTATTTATTTATAGCTCTCACAAATAAGTGAGAACATGTGGTATATGAGTGAATGAGGAAAATGTGGTATATCTACACAATGAGATACTACTCTGCCTCACCCCTTTGACTTTACCTGCACCAAGCTGCGCATGCCTTGCTGAAGCGCTCCATCGTGAGCCCAGCCCTTCTCCCAACCAGCTGTGAACTTGTGGGATCTGTGAGTGAACGAGGGAGGGGACAAACTCATTCATTCTTGACGGTGGGGGAGGGGGGATTCCTGCACAGCATGCTGTTTATCACTAGCCTTTGAAACTTCCCACAGGCTCCCAGGCTTGGTGTTAGAGGAGTACACAGTCAGTCCCCTTACTGGATTGGTAGCTTCTTGAGGGCTGGGGCAAGCATCCATGGCTTTCTGCGTCCCTGATGCCCAGCAAAAGTAAAGGGCTGGTGGGATGGCCTCTGATCAGGGTCCCCAGAGAGCATTTCTGGCCTTGCTCATACTCCCCGCCCCAGCCTCCCCCACGGCCTTCAGGGCATGCCTTCTGTAGAAAAGCCTTCCCCATCAAAGTCAGTCAGTTGTAGCCACCACTTTCTATGGTGCACCTACTATTTAAAAAAAATTTAATTACATGCGTGAACACATGTACTTAAATATTTTCTTCTGAAAAAGGCACATTACAGTCATAGCTAACAGCCCTTTGTTCCCCAATTTCACACCCCTCTGTACAGGGAACTCCCATGGTTGGCTTGGTGTGTGTCCTTGCTAACTCTCTACACTATTACATGCAGATTAAGTGTTCCTGTATGTGTCCCAGCTCTATGCCCAGGATGCCACTTAAACCTCCCCGCAGAGCCCCTTGGGGAAGGGCCTTGTCTTCAAAGCCATCTGTGTGTGCAGGAGGGAAAAGCTGTTAGTCATGCCCTGCCCCCCCAAGGTGGACCCCACTCGTCCACCAGCCCTGGGCAGAAGATGAAACTCAGTTCTTCTGTCTCAGGTTGGCTTCCTGGCAGCTGGGGGAAGGTGGGCAGAGGAAGGTGGGCATGTATGGAGAGGGACATGTGGGTGCAGGGAGGGGGCTCCAGGTACTTAGGAGAGCCTGAAATCCTGGCCTCTTAAAAAATCCCAGGGCTCTTGACCCCTTTCCCTTCCTCAACCTCAGTCTCTCTTGGAGGCCAAGTCCAGGGGAACTTGGAGGGGAAAAAATGGATTTTCCCCCTCAGGCCAGTCCCATCCTGGATACCTCTTCTCTCTCCCAGATTTCTCCCTGGCTTACCCTCTGGTCAGGTGGCTGGCCAGGACTGTGCCAAGGCTGGGAGGCAGGTGCATGGAGGCCATGAGCTGGCAACGTTGAGTCCCCAGACACAAAGCCCTGAGCACGCTCCATGCAAGGGAGGGCTCCTCAGGGAGCTTGGGAGGGGCTGGCTCCTGGCTCTGGGCAGGCCAGCAGCTTCCACAGCCAGGCAACCCAGCACTCAGTCCTTGCTTGTCAACAGCCTGGGGTGTGGGGGGCCCACAGGCAGGGCACCTTTTCCAGGGGGAAGGTGATACCCTGGGCTGGAATCTTGAGTTCACATTAGCCGTGGACATGAGCTCCTCTGGGCCTCTGCCAGCTTCTCCTGCTAGCCTCGGGCAGGATGGGGCAGCTCTCTGACTGGGAGGCTGCCAACTGAGTCATTGGGGGCTCAGGGACACCACGGGCCTGGGGACGGGAGCAGCAGGAGATCTCTTCTGGCTTCAGGTGCAGATGAGCTGCCAAGGGCTTGTCTCTGGTTGGAGGCTGCACGGAAGGACCAACGTATGCTAACTGTGGCCAGAAGACCCCCTGCCTCTGAAGCTGTCTGACTGGTGAGGGAAGGGACTGGCCTTGGGCCAACACCTTCTTGTGGCCATGGGCTGGTGGCCTCCATGGGGATTGGGGTCAGAGCTGGGCTTGACATGACCCTCATGTGCATGGCCTGCCAAGGGGCTGAGGAAAGTGGCTGTGTGGGGAACCTCTGTCTCCTGTTGAAGCAGCCAAATAGATTCCTCGGGCTCTAGGAATTCAGAGGCAGCAAGTACCATGCCGGGGTGCCCTGAGGTGGATGGGACTTTGTCCTTTCCTAGGAGGGTGACAGGGAGGGTGGATGGAGAAGGCTTGGAACAGAGGGCCTGAGAGAGGCTTCCTGGCCAGGCAGGGTTTGATGGGAAAGAGGGAAGAGCTGGGAGAAAAGAAAGACCGGGGGTCAGAGCTGCTGGTGGCCCTGGCAGGGACTGGCAGAGAGCATAGGAAGTCCTGGCTCCCAGGCGCCCTGTTTTGGCCCTGGCTGCCTTCTCTAGAGGGACGGACACTGAGTGCAGAGGCTGTGCACATACACATGCTTAGGGTTGAGCCCCAACTGTGGCAGATAGGGTGTGTACCTGATTGGTCCTCAGGTGTCACAGTGGCCGCAGAACTGCCAGGACCAGCACTGGCCACACCCACACCAGGCTCCAACATGAAATGGCCTCACAGGAGGTGAGACAGCAAAGATGGGTCTGGTGAACTCCTGCAGGGGTTCGAAGGCTGAAGGCTGGACTTGGGAATTTATTATGTAGATGACAAATACCTGACACTATCCTTAATCCTGGGGACCCAGCAGGGAACAAGACACACGTGGTTCCTGCTCACATG